CCGGCCGCCGCCTTTGTCTCCTCGGGAGTCTACACACCGCACCGGGTCCTCATTTGAGGCCGAGTCGACCTAGGGGAGGTCCAGGACCTGTTCAAATAATCATCACCGGTTGTTGTTGGCCGTGAGCGGGAATCGAACCCGGGACGCCGGGTTCGTAGCACAGCGTAGCGCTAACCGTTGCACTATCGCTCACTCGTACACGCGCACACACACGCACACACACACGCACACACACACGCACACACACACGCACACACGCGCACACGCACACACACACACGCACACACACACGCACACACACACGCACACACACACGCACACACACACGCACACACGCGCACACGCACACACACACACGCACACACACACGCACACACACACGCACACACGCGCACACACACACGCACACACACACACGCACACACACACGCGCACACGTGAACACACACACACACGCGCACACGTGAACACACACACGCGCACAAACACACGCGCACACACACGCGCACACACACACGCACACACGCGCACACGTGAACACACGCGCACACACACACGCACACACACACACACGCGCACATACACGCACACACACACGCGCACACACGCACGCGCACACACACGCACACACACACGCACACACACACGTGAACACACGCACACACACACGCACACACACACGCACACACGCACGCACACGCACACACGGAGGGGGGAGGGGGCGGTGTCGGTGGAGTAATAACCGCGCCGTGTCGCTCCCCGACCAGATCCCGAGACTCTGTAAGTGGCCGCGATTCATCAGGCTTCTGGCAAGTGCTGGAGCCACGTAACTGGGAGCATAAAAGTAATTTAGCGCACGCCGCAAACAGTTCCTAAATCAAAAAGGGGGTGGTGGTGGGGGGCATCGCTGAATCGGGGGGGGGGGTAGTGGAGGGGGGGGGGTCCTCGCGCTCTCTGCTCGAACGAGTCATTTGTCTGTACCGCGTCTCCTCCACCCCCCCCCCCTCTCTCTCGATCGCCTCTCTCGCTCGCTCGCGGGCGAGTCGCTGTTTCATGCGCCGAGGACAGAAAGGGAAAAAAAAACCGCTCTCTCATTTTTCAAGCCGCCATGAATGCGCCCAGAGTGCCGAGCGAAGAGGAGCGGCGGCGTTGGCGGTGGTGGAGGAGTCTCACTTAAGAGGCGCTCAGGGGGCAGGCGAGGGCAAGGGAGAGACACGGCACGTAGCCGGGCTGGAGGGGTTAGTGAGTGGCTGGAGGTCAATGGTAAAACAACAACAACAACAAACACAGTTACAGGTGCAACCTTGCAATTGCTTGCCCCACGTCGCTGCTGACGGAGAGGCACTCGACAAGATGCGTTCGTCCTGCTCTTACACGCTGATCAGCTCGTCTTGGAGGAGGCGGGAGTAACCACAACATTGTTGTTGTCACCCCACCCCCCGCCGAGACCTGCCGATCGCCGAGCCTGGGAAGGACGGAGGGCGCGGCCCGGTGTTCCAACAGCGCGTGAAGGCTGTACGGGAGAAGCTGCACCTGTGTATGTGTACCCGACGCGTTATTGTAACGCTGCTCATTGTTGCCACTGCCGCGCCGGGAGATAAGATCGAATTCAACAAAGATCCCCCCCCCCCCCCCCGTATAGCCTTAACAGACTGTAGGGCCAAGTGCTGTTAGCGAGCAGCATCTATGAAGGCCGGCACGGCACACGAGGGGGTGGGTGGCCAGCACCACGCCCGACCGCCTTTGCCTCCGCAGTGGCGATGCTTGCACACCGAACCAGGTAGTAATTTGAGGCTGAGTCGACCTAGGGGAGGCCCAAAACCGGTTCAGATAATCGTCACCGGTGTTGGCCGTGAGCAGGAATTGAACCCGGGTGGCCAGGTTTGCAGCGCAGCGTAGCGCGCTAACCGCTACACTATCGCTCCCATGAACAGCCCACACGCACACACGTGTACTGTGTGAAACACGCTCTCAGGCTTAAGGATTACGCAAAACCATCACTTCCTGCAGAACCGCATTTGTGGCCTTCTGCTCATAAGTCGCCACCAAATAAAGTGAGCAAATGTGACCAACCAGTCCAACCTACAGGGGGAGGGGGGGGGGTTGTCAGGCAGCGCGACCAAGCGAGATAACCCATCAGACCGCTTTCCGTCATCACTGAGACTCATCGGTCGAGCGAAAAATCGCCGATTGGTCACCGCTGAGTCGCGCACATCCAGCGCGCTAACCGTTAAAGACGTGGCACGGCTGGGGGTGCTGGGGGTGCAGGGTGGGATGAGACGATGACATTAGCGCCACGGGGACAAATGATGGAGATTATTTTCAAGCTCCGGGGGAGGGGGGTGGGGGGCTGGAGACGCGTTTGTAAGGAAAAAAAAAGTGCCCGCGACATTGCGAGGTAAAGGGTTAGGATTTACGGTCGCGAATTAATGCGACGGCGCGTCAAGCAAGACGCGGTACGGAACAATTGAACGCGCATCCTAATCCATAATCCGTATTTTATCACTGTAATAATACGACGACTGCACGACGTTGGGTGGAGCGGTGGCGCAGCGGTTAGCGCAGTGCGGTTGGTCATAATCAGAATCATTTATACCGGAGGAATCCGATGAGCTGTGAAGCTCTTTTTTCATAGATGTCCAATAGGTTGCGGGTCACAACGTTACAACAACAAACAATACAAAAACACAATAGGAGTGCAACGTATAGGAAATGTAAACAAATCACTTCAAAAAAAATATACAAATAAAACGCAAACTATTTTTTTTTATCTGACCAAGTAAAGCCCACTGAGCTATTATCCTTCTGTTTTCAGAAGCGACCTGGCCACAAACGATAGCTCAACGAAGCGGCTTATCGCGTGGAAATGTATGAGCTCGGCACCAGGAAACCCTGCATTCGCTTCGCCTACCACGGCTACAAATGACCGCCCAGGGACGACGAGCGATGTCTGTCACCGATCGGCGTCGTGAAGAGGTGGTCAAGCAACTTCCACGATCTAACCGACACGGGCGCGGGAACGCCTTCATCCTCTCCACACGTTCCCCGTGTCACCGAGCATCGCAGTCTGGGGCGTCAGAGTCCAATCCCTGCTTGGAGCAGGGGTCCCCAACCCCCTGGTCCGTGGCCTGTTAGGAACCGGGCCACACAGCAGCAGGAGGTGAGAGCGGTGAGTCCGCACGTGGGCCGCCCGCATTATTTTATTATTGACCACTTCCGTCCGCGCCTCTGTCCCGCACTGCGCCACTTGTCACGTGGTGTTGGTAAGCCCACAAGCTGACCCCTAGTAGCCAAAATGCGTAAAAAACAAACGTCGCTGAAGAGCTTCTTTGAAAAGGGGGAAAGACCCAATGATGAACCGCCCCCCCGCCGGTCCGTGAAAAAAATTGTTGTCTTCCACGAAACCGGTCCCTGGTGCCAAAGAGGTTGTGGAGCGCCGGATTGGAGGATGGACGGGGTGCAGAGGGAGGGGGCGAGGGGGGATGACTCACAACTATCAACACTCTGGGGTGGGGGGAATGGTTCGGGGTTCAATAAAACAAGCGCTATTTTGTGGTCAACAAGCAGTTCTTGTCGCATGGGTAAACTAACCCCGCCATAGGAATGTGGAATTTCCACGACTGGCTCGGGCCTCCCAGTGGAGACAGGGCAGGTGCCTGTGCATCAATATTCCGAACCAGTGTGCTGTCCTAAGCAAAAAGCAAAACAGGGTCATAGCCTGAAACGTCGCCTATACATTATTTTCTCCCCCACTTTGAGGGCAGCGTCAGCTCTCGATTGTGACGATGTTTTGTGTTTCACTTCGTCTGGTAAATTCTTGTTTCCCGAACAATGTCTCTTAAGCTGAAGTTCCAATCCCTTACTGGTCATATACAACTAAAACATTACACACGGATTGTATTTTGACAAATCATTACTTTATTGAGACTGTTCAATCACGTTAATTTGGCGACATAGAAAATTCAACGTGAAAAAGAAAATGTTTTTAAACAGGTAAAATCTCACGCGTCGACCCGCAAATTCCGCTCAATCCGACCGGACGATGCCTTCAAGAAAAGCCTGAGGCAGACAGGGAACGTGTCTCGTTCCCATTAGGGCTCATCGGCGAACCAAGCCAGCTGCGCACTTCTGTGGCATAAGCAAGGGCGATCACACTGGTCAAGCAAAGCATGCGACAGTGAAGCTGTGGTTAGTAGTGGGATAGGGTTATGGTCGGGGATAACGTTAGGGTTATGTTTATGAGTCATGGGACTCAAGTTCGGAGTTAGGGATTAGGGTGAGGGTTATGGTAAAAGTTTATGGTTAGGTGTTAAAGTTAAGGTGAACGTTTGGAGTCAGGATTAAGCATTGGGGCTACCACGTAATGATTAGGGTAATGAAAAAATAGTTGAAGCTTAAGTTAGGGGTTAGAGTTATGGGAGTTAGTGGTTATAGGTTCATCATCACAATCCACGGGCAGATAGCCCGTCGCTGCACATTTTCGTCATTTGTTTCCACTTTCCTCTCTGTCTTGTGCCAACATGCTTAATGTAGTGGCCACATCTTTCTGCCACCAATCTCTTCATCTCGTTGTCAAGCCGTTTTCTGTTAGGTCTGTTAGGCTACAGGTCAGCATTAGGGTTACGGGTTGAGGGAGCTTCGTGGCAAGATAGGCTAAAGCAATGCAGAAGTCTGGAAGAGAGCGTGGCAGGCGTGAGAGTTGTGGATACGATTCGGTCAAAAGGGCGGCGGCTGAGTGGGACGCGCGTGCAGGATGAAGGGGTGGAGGAGGAGGAGGAGGAGGCGATGTTCCCATCCAGGCATTGGAGCGATCTCCACGAGACCGGCGACCAATGCGAAGAGAAGACCGAAGAGCAAATGGCGGGAGACTGTCAAGGCAGATCTATGGGTCTCTGTGTGAGTATGTGGGTCTCTGTGTGAGTCTATGGGTCTCTCTATGAGTCTGTGGGTCGCTGTGTGAGTCTCCGGGTCTCTGTGTGAGTCTATGGGTCTCTGTGTGATTATATGGGTCTCTCTATGAGTCTGTGGGCCTCTGTGTGAGTATATGGGTCTCTGTGTGAGTTTGCGAGTCTCTCTGTAAGTTTCTGGGTCTCTGTGTGAATGTATACGTCTGTGTGTAAGTGCGTGGTTGGGATTTAGGTTCGTGCTTGCAGTTCGGGATGGTGGTCAGAATGAGGGATGGTGGTTATCGTAATGATTTGGTGGTTAAAGTAAGGGATGGTGGTTATCGTAATGATTTGGTGGTTAAAGAAGGGATGGTGGTTATCGTAATGATTTGGTGGTTAAAGTAAGGGGTGGTGGTTATCGTAATGATTTGGTGGTTAAAGTAAGGGGTGGTGGTTATCGTAATGATTTGGTGGTTAAAGTAAGGGGTGGTGGTTATCGTAATGATTTGGTGGTTAAAGTAAGGGGTGGTGGTTATCGTAATGATTTGGATGTTTAAAGTAAGGGGTGGTGGTTGTCAGAGCCGTCTCTAGGGGTTACGCCCGGGGCCCCGCGCTTTGGGGGTGGGGGGGGGGGGGCTGGGGGGCGCTTCGACGTCACGGTGTCAGATGCAATTATTTCGGTTTAGTTTGAAGGCGTCGGGTAGAGTTGCCCCGGGCTCCTCTGGCCGGCTCCGCTGGTGGTTGTGAATCTCCATCCGCGCGTGACGTCTCTCTCGAGTAGCGCGTGCGTCACACCTCGTACGCCGCGGTGAGGAACGCCCGCGGCACGAGCCCCACTTTCCCGTCCAGCTCGCCCACCCACCACTGCCACTTCTCGTAGTCCTGCAAAGGCAAAGGTCCACCCACCCGTATAGCCATCAACAGAACTGTCGGGGCAAGTGCTGTTAGCGAGCAGCACCTACGAAGGCCGGCACGGTTCACACGAGGGGGGTGGGTGGACAGCACCACGCCCGGCCGCCTTTGTCTCCCGAGTGGCGATCTTTCTACACGTCGCACCGGGTACTCATTTTGAGGCTGAGTCGACCTAGGGGGAGGCCTGGGACCGGTTCAGATCGTCGTCACTGGTGTTGGTGGCCGTGAGCGGGAATCGAACTCAGGTAGCCCGGTTTGTAGCCCACTAACCGCGAGCCTACCACCAGCACCACCGAGACAACAACAACAACAACAGCCAATCCGACGATTCACGTAAAACCACGTGGGGGTTGCCACCCACCGTCCCCCTCAGTGAGGCAGATGTGATAGCTGCCTCCCCTGGTGATTTTTCATTGCAGTTTCACGACGAGACCAGCGAGCCGAAATATCTTTATACATTTACGTGAAATAAGTTACCTGGAGTATGGAAGGCGAAGACATGAAATGAAGGGGTCTACAAACATAACATTGGTGACACACTGAGATAGTAACAGGCACGCGCTTATTGCCCGTGCTCCATCCAGTTACTGAGGGGTTGCGCAATCAGAGGGGAGGCTGAGCTTGTCGCTGTCTCACCTCTCGTCTCTTCCTGCAGTATTTTCAACGGAGCTCCGCAAATTTGGCGATTTTGAGTCTAAAGATGACTGGAATCGTACAGAAATGGCATTTATAACAGAGACCAGTGGAAAAATATTAATATTTATTTAATTTGATTATTCTTTTGTTTTACTTTTCGTAACAACCCCTATCACTACCCCAACCCCAACCCCAGCCCCTATCACTACCCCAACCCCTCTCACTACCCCAACCCCTCTCACTACCTCAACCCCTATCACTACCCCAACCACTATCACTACCCCAACCCCAACCCCTATCACTACCTCAAACCCTATCACTACCCCAACCCCTATCACTACCCCAACCCCTAACACTACCCCAACCCCTATCACTACCCAAACCTCTATCACTACCCCAACCCCTATCACTACCTCAACCCCTCTCACTACCCCAACTATTATCACTACCCCAACTCCTATCACTACCCCAACCCCTACCACTACCCAAACCTCTATCACTACCCCAACCCCTATCACTACCCCAACCCCTCTCACTACCCCAACCCCTATCACTACCCCAACCCCTCTCACTACCCCAACTCCTATCACTACCCCAACTCCTATCACTACCCCAACCCCTATCACTACCCCAACCCCTATCACTACCCAAACCTCTATCACTACCCCAACCCCTATCACTACCCCAACCCCTATCACTACCCCAACCCCTCTCACTACCCCTACCCCTATCACTACCCCTATCACTACCCCAACTCCCATCACTACCCCAACCCCTATCACTACCCCAACCCCTATCACTACCCCAACCCCCATCACTACCCCAACCCCTCTCACTACCCCAACTCCTATCACTACCCCAACTCCTATCACTACCCCAACCCTTATCACTACCCCAACCCCTCTCACTACCCCAACCCCCATCACTACCCCAACCCCTATCACTACCCCTATCACTACCCCAACCCCTATCACTACCCCTACCCCTTAACCACTCCCACCTGTCCTGTTGTCACCATAACTACACCACCACTTTTAATAACAATCCCACTCTTAATTTCAACCACTATCATCTTATGCACAATTGTATAACTATTGGACAGCACTTTGAATTAAGGCGTTGTACAAATGTACTTAGATTATTTAGATAATTTTGCTGCTATAAATGTACACATGATAAGCCACTTCGTTGAGCTATCATTTGTGGCCAGGTCGCGTATGAAAAAGAAGCTGATAGCTCAGTGGGCTTTACCTGGTAAGAAAAAATAGTTTCGTTTTAGTTGCATATTTTTAAAAAGTATCATGTATTTACAATACAATCACATTTTTGTACCGTTTGCTGTCGTAACGTGCTTACCCGCCCCCTCACTGGACATCCGTGATAAAAAAGAGCTTCATAGCTCATCGGATTCCTCCAGTGTAAAGACACATTCTAGTCGTGATGATGTAAGATGGAACATTCAACACGGGCGCCTCGAATCCCCTCTGCACGCAGATGCGAGGATGGAGAAGCGAGGATGGAGAAGCGAGGGTGGAGGAGCGAGGGTGGAGGAGCGAGGATGGAGAAGCGAGGGTGGAGGAGCGAGGGTGGAGTGAGCAGGAGACGGCAGCGGACACGAGCGCGCTGGCGTTTTCTCGACGGGAATCTCTCCCCTCACCCCGCACAACGCGCTCAGCCCTTCGACCGCGCCCTCCTGCTCATTGGCGATCGCGGTAGCGACCGCTGCTGCTGCTGCTGCCGCGTGGAAGAAGGCACCAGCAGCAGCAGCAGCGCCGCCCATCAAGCTGCGCCCGCGCGTGCGTGCGCGGTACGTGTACGTGTCGTTGTGGCGCGTGTGTGTGCGAGTGTGTGTGTGTGTGCGTTGTATGTGGTGGCAAAAACAACCCCCTGCCTCCTCGTGGTGCCGGACGGGCAACGCTGTCGTGGGCAGTGCTGTGGGGCGAGGGCCAATTCCAATTGGCCTCTCGCGTCTGTGACCACCACAGTGGCTAAATGGGGGCTCTGGACGGGTGCGAGGGGCTGGTAACCCCTCCACCTTCAATAAATTACCATAAAATCACGTAAAAAATATCTAATTAATAAGCTTGTACCGGGGGCCCCGGGGAGACAGGCGTCTATGACGTCTCCTGGCCAAACCCCATTTGGCAGAGCCAGGGAATTGAATCTTTACCCTCGGGGCTCCTCCAGAAACAACAAAAAGCCACTACGGATGGCCACGTGGAATGTTCGAACGCTCACTGCGGAGGAGAGGCTGCCACTCCTCTGTCGGGAGCTAGACCGGTACCGCCTGGATCTCTGGCATTCAGGAGGTCCGTTGGACCGGCTCTGGCTCCTGCCACCATGAGGGGTGGCTAGTCCTCTACTCGGGGCAGGAGACTACCAAACAACAGGGAGTGTCTCTTCTTCTGAACAAAAGAATGAAGGGGGCGTGGGAGCGTGGCTGTGAGGTGTGGGAAGATGTAAGCCCCAGGCTACTTTTGGCTTGCCTTCCTACCAACCGGAGGCGAGGAGTGGTGGTTGTGGTTACTTATGCCCCCATCGAAGACAAACATCCATGGAGGGATGCAGGCAAGGCCGATGAGTCAGATGCCTTCTATGACCTCCTGTTCCAGGTTCTGGCTAAAGTGGCCCCACGTGATAGAGTCATCTTGTTGGGTGACTTCAATGTCCGAGTTGGTCATGATGCTGGAATCTGGTCTGGAGTGATTGGAAGGCATGGGCCAGATCAGCTCAATAACAAATGGTAGGAGGCTGCTAGATTTTTGTGCAGCCAATGGGCTTGTAATTACTAACACGCTGTTCCGGCATCGGTGCATCTACACAGCATCATGGATGCATGTCGGGTCCAAGCAAGAACATCTGCTGGACTACATAGTGACGGAATAGCGGATGCGGTGTCAAGATCGGCCTCTGTGGAGGAGGCTCGTGAAGGACGCTACTGTGCAGTTGGAGGCAGTCGCCCTCCAACAACAACGGAGGGCGGAGGAGCGACGCTCACAACAACGAGCGGAGCGCCGGTTGGCTAAAGCACAGCAGGTTGGCACAGTAGGGGGCACAGGTGGTGCATCAGGCAGTCATCTCAGTCAGTCGACCTGTGGCATCTGTGTCTGCCCCAGCGGGCGTTCGACACTTCACGTGGCCTCAGGGTGCACATAGCCTGGCACAAGCGTCGTGGTGACGTCACCGCCACTTTGTGGCGAATGGCGGTTGTTGTTGTTGTTGTACGTGTGTTGGCTGAAGCGGTAGCGCAGGCGCTTAGCGCGCTGAGCTAAGCACACCGGGTGACGTGTGCTCGATTCTCACTCGCGGTCACCGACACCAGTGACGATTATAATCTGAATCCCCCCCCACCCCAGCCCCGAGGTCGACTCAGCCTCAAATGAGTACCTGGTGCAATGCGTAAACATCAGCACTGGGGAGACGAAGGCGGTCGAGCGTGGTTCTTCATAGGTGCTCGCTAATAGCACTTGCCCCAGCAGCGCGTGGAGGCTATATGGGGCGCCTTTGTAATTGCGTCCGCGTGCACATGGCACGCGCTTAATCACGGCACTGCCGCCGCCACGCCCGTGGTGAGGGCGAAGCCGGTGGCTGCCAGATTACAGCGAGACGAGCAAACACCCTGAAGCCTAATGGCTCTCAAAGCAATTCACGTTCCGTGGGAAGGTTTCCAAGCTTGGCAAGAGATAAAATAAAACAAATTAACAAAAGTACGACTCCATTTACAAATAATATGTCCATCGAGTTTTCTGGCTGGCCGCTGGCTTGGCTCCTTCTCCACCCCAGCGACGACTGTCTTGTCAGTGGCTTCTGCGGGCCGTTGCCACCAAAGCTAGCTGGGTTACTGGCTACACGTGATTTTTTTTTTTACCCCGTGTAACAAATTAACTTTGAATCGAATTTGAATCGGCGGAAGAAGAAGTTGGAGTAACGAATGCGTTTACAGGGGACGTGTGAGCAAGGGATAGGGAAGACCGACACGGTCCATTCAAAACCGCTCCAACTTTTCCACACGTGTTCCGAATTAATGCAATTCTTCCTGCGGAATATTCTTTAAATCCTAGAGAATGTAAAAAAAACCAAACAAACAAACAAGAGATAAACCTTGACTTAAAACTTTCGTGACTGCAGGAATTCATATTCTTGGGTCTTTCGGTAAAGTCACGTAGATAGAAAAAAATAAAGTAAAAAATGGAAAATAAGACTGAAATAATAATAAAAGCAATAAATATTTTTTTGCTTTTATTATTCTCAAATAATTATAAAATTTTATTTATTTTTACATATTCATTATTATTTTCTATCTACGTGACTTCACCGAAAGAACCAAGAACAAGAGATAAACCCTCGCAATTGCTTTCGGCCTTTTTTGCCGGGTCAAAAAGACACCCCCACCCCCACCCACCCGCGCCACCCAACAAGCTTAAAAAGAGACGCAAAAAAAAAATCAAGAACCTAAACACGCACGGCAACTTCCCCTTCACTTCCGTGACGCTGGGGGCCCAGCGGCAACAACGTCGGCGCCCTCGGTCCGATGCTAGCGGCTTCGGGAGCCCAGCGCGCCGCTTTAATTGGGGCGCCGCTCGTTATCGCGACCACGGTGGCCGGGAACCCCCCGCGTGACGAATCTTTGGCGTCGAGGCAAAGCAAAAAAAAGCGGCTTCGGTCCAAGTTCAAAGCGAGCAACGGGGCACGGTCGCCTCCAATTCGTGCGGGGTCGGGTCCCCTACCTACCTACCTACCTCCTCCCTCCCCCCCTCTCCCCCTACCTCCAAAGCCACATCTATCCCGCCTTTGTAAATCTGCCGGCCTCTCTTTAAGAGGCGAGGTCACAGCCCTCCTGTGGCTAAAATACGGCGGTGGGTGGGTGGGGGAGGCAGGGGGCCCGACTAATTGTACGAGCCGGTAGAGCGGCTCACTCCAACGGAGGTGGCTCTTCGTGCCTTAATTAAAACTCGACGCGGGCTCGAAGCGGGGTTGTATTTATTTTAGTTTTTACTACGACTCTTTCGCTGCTTTTCTGGGCATAAAAAGACGGCGAGAAGAAAGAAAAGAAAGACGGATTTTTTTTCGTCCGCTGCTTAGAGAACGTCAGAACGTTCCGATAATGAATTGCCCCAATGTTGTCGTTTATTACCATTATTGCTGTTTGTTGTTGTTGTTTTTACCACGACTCATGGGTCACGGAGATCGCTGCTCGCATGCTCGACGCTTTAACAGCGGGGCCCCCTCGTTCTCACGAGCGACCGTACGCCTTTTGCTATGTTGCATTGCTCGGCGCTGTAATTGGCGCCGAACTCCGCCGCTCTCGCTCAAGCGGCAGTTGTTTATTGCTGTTTGCTTGTTGTTGTTGTTGTTGTTTACATTCTCTAGTTGGTTCCCTATAAGCTGCAATTACGCACGACGTGAAATCTTTCTCCGGCGAAATAAGCCACCCGCCCTTCCACCCCCCAATGCTCTTTTCAGACTTCTAATTGGACGTCTGCTCGGTGGAAAGTTGAATTAAAACTATAGAAAAAAAAAACTTTTTTCTCCATTTTGCCCGGTAAGACACACTGAGCTGTACAGCTCTTTTTTAAGAAGCGACCTGACCACGCAAATGATGGCTCAACGAAGTGGCTCATCATGCGAATATTTACAGCAGCCAAAGTACTCTAAAACGCGTGATCTTGATTCAAAATGTGGAGTAAAAAACCGGAAGACCCCGAAGAAAATCCTAGTGACCACGCGGAGAGAGACACGCAAACTCCAAATATACAGGAGTCGTCAGCGACGGGATCGAACCCACGACCTCCTGTATACCAGGCGAGGTAGTTAACATCTCCTAGCCACCGTGGCGCCCTTCATATAATTCCACGGCGTGGTGGAATCAGCAGCACCGCTAGGGGCCTTTGACGATTCTCCCTGCCTACCTCGATTCAATAAAATATTCGATTCTTTGCTTTAACGTTGTGGCCTGTGCGGCCAACATCTTGAAAAAGAGCTTCATAGCTCATCGGATTCACTACAGAATAAATAAAGTTTCCGATTGCGATGACGGTATCCGGCGAAGCTGGCTCAGTGGTCGAGCGAGTGGCGAGCGGCTGGAAAGGTCGTGAGGTCAAATTCTGGTTTGGGGGCTGGAGGGGGGGGGGGGGGTTGACGCATCTCATCATCCCTTCGGGGGTCGATAAAAGTAGTACCACTCTGTGGGGAAAATCAACATCGGTTGTCCTATGGAGAGAGAGAGAGAGAAGTTACCTGTCGACTTGGCCAGTATGAAAGGTTTCGAGTGGACTTTGTTTCACCACGTGAGGAGCCAAGAGACAGGGACGAGAGTCTTGCTCGCAAGAGCGACCCCCACCCCCCGCCCGCCCCCCCGGGGGGTTCCACAAAGCGACGAACGAGAGACGCGTGCACACAAGGTACAGCGAAGAAGCAAATATAAATCAGACACCAACACAAACACGCAACAAAAAACCAAGAGAGCACGCCACACGGGCAATCGAACAGTCTTGCGCGCACCTAAATATGAAACGTGAGAGCATGAATGTTGAGTGAAAACTTTCGCGTGACTGCAGGAATTCATATTCTTTGGTTCTTTCGGTAAGAGTCGCGTAGATAGAAAATAAAATGAAAAGTTAAATTTAAAATAAAATAAAAAATAAAGGGCAAAAAACCCACGACATTTCGATCGCATCGCAGGCGGTCTTCTCCTCCTCCTCTCCGCCTGATGAAGACCGCTTGTGTTGCGATCGAAACGTGCTGGGTCTTTGTGCTTTCATTTTATTCGTAATGTTATTTTCTACCTACGTGGCTTTACCGAAAGAACCAAAGAATAGTAAGAGCATGAGGAGCACGTTCGTCTCGCGGCTCACGTCACGCACACCCACCCCCCCCCCCTCCTCCTGGCCCCCCTCCTCTCCAGACCCTACCGCGCTAACGTATCATACCGTCACACTATGCTGCACGGATTTGACAAAAGGTTTGCTGGCTGGCTGGCTGGAGCGAGGGGAGGGGAGGGAGGGACAGTCGGTCACGTCCACAGGAAGTGTGAGCTGAGAGCATATTTTGTATTCTTCTTCTTAAAGTTGCTTCGCATCTTCGGCAACCTCGTGGACTCTGCTTTTTGACGATTCCCCACAGAAATGTGGCGTCCGTCGATTTGCTCTTCAGTTGCTGTCGTTTTGATTCAATGCGTGTTGACAAACGCCGCCATCGGCGGAATCCGCGGCGTGTCCGAGCGCGCACCTTGCTGACGATGTGGACGAGGTCGCCCCGGCGGAAGGAGAGTTCGTCCGTCGCGTCGGCCTTGCAGTCCCACAGGCCCTGGTAGACGTTTCTGTAACACACATCCCAGTCTGCAGCAGCAGCTGCATGCAGCAGGCAATATCAGCAGGCAGTAAGCCCTGACATTTCTTACTTGCACCCGTACCTAACATTTGCCGGAGCCGCTTGCTCTCACAAAGCGTTTGCACAGTTTTTCGATTCAAGTGTGTGTTTTGTTGACGACCATCAGATGCCTCCTTTGTTACTGACGCGTTCGCTCTTGGCCATGTTGATGTTATTTGCGTTTTCTTGCCGCTGTTACTGCCGCTGTGCGCATGCACCAAATTTGGCTTTCCTGCACAAACAATGATTGTATAGAATTATACAAAATAGGCTTCATCGCATCTGCAATAAATACAGGAGGTATATATATTCTTGGTTCTTTCGGTTAAGTCACGTTGAAGGGAAACAATAAAATAATAAAATATATATGAAACAATACAATTCTCACGACGTTTCGACTGCAACACAAGCAGTCATAATCAGGTGTGAAAACCAACGGCAAGAACATTTGAAAGAAGTGCTCTTGCCTTCAACGTGACTTTACCGAAAGAACCAAGAATATGAATCACTGCAGTCACGAAAGCTTTAAATCAAAAATACAGGAGGTGTTAAGGTATTCGAGCACCAAAGAGACGCCTATTGCAACAAGGCATCACGTCTGCACGTACTTGTGGTAGAAACGGAAACAAACGTGCTTCGAGAATGTGCGCAATTTCCTTGCAACTCACGGACCTACACTAGACGGCCTCCTTCAAGCCATTGTCTCACCGGTGCTGTCGATCAAAGGCCCCCAAATGGCCCAGCAGGGCAAGGACGATGCAAACATCCCTCTCTTAGGTAAAGAGATTCAACATCTTGATTCTGCGGTTAAACGGCCCTACAGTTGTAAGCAATGAAAGTCGTGAATACGTGAGCATGCGTTAGTGTGTTGAACCGGTCCTGGGCCACCCCTAGGTCGACTCAGCCTCAAATGAGCACCTGGGGCGATGTGGAAACATCGCCGCTAGGGAGACAAAGGCGGCCCCAGCCGTGGCGTTGGCCACCAACCCACACCCTCGTGTGCCGTGCCGGCCTTCATAGGTGCTCGCGAACAGCACTTGCCCCTACAGTCCGTTAAGGCTGTACGGGGTGATCTTTGTCTTTTGTGTGTGAGCACCTCCGGTCATCTTCTCGATGGCCTCCACCCAGCTGTCGGCCTCCTTCACTGACGCCGCGGTGAACTGCAACACAGGACGATGTCACCGTCACGCCAAGGTCAGATACGAAGAGCGGAGGCGCAGACCACTCACGCTTACGTTTGGTGCAAAGTATTTCCGCGCTGCCACTCCACGTTCCTGGAATTGGCTCTCATCTACAGCTTGGTTCTGGACTCTGATTGCCGTCCGTCAACCTCCCCCCTCCCCCCCCCTCTTTTCAGTGTTCCCATTTCGACCACAAAACACACGGCCTACGTCGCTGTTCGATACAAAATATAGGGCTTACTTGCACTTCTACCGAACCTTTTGTGACATCTCTTGCTCTTACGTTATATATACATTTGTTTGCACCGTTTTTTTTATTCACGTGTGTTCCACTGTCACCATCGTCAAAGAACTTCGTTTGTTCGTTGTGCAACATCCCTTAAGGACCCTGTGCTGAACTCGTCTTCTGAAATATTGATGATGATTTTTTTTAATAATAATAGGGTTTTTCTCCTTTTTTTCTGGCAACAAAACTGAAACCTTTTTACAAGGATCCATGTCTGCATTAACCACAATACCTGCAGTCAAAATGCAAACAAAAAACATACTATGATAATATTTGTGGCATTGTCCTTGAAACTGATTGGTCCACACCAAGGGACGGCTTTCTTTTGAGCCTCGACCCAATTGGTGCTCGACCAGATGAAGCCTTTTGGCCAGATGACGCCTTCTGGTCGAGCACCAATTGGGTCGAGGCTCAAAAGAAAGCCGTCCCTTGGTGTGGACCAATCAGTTTCAAGGACAATGCATATATTATCATAGTATGTTTTTTGTTTGCATTTTGACTGCAGGTATTGTGGTTAATGCAGACATGAATCCTCGTAAAAAGGTTTCAGTTTTGTTGCCAGAAAAAAAGGGGAAAAACCCTATAATTATATTTTGGTACTGGCAAAGGAAGTCTAATGATGATGATGTTTTTGTTATTATTGCTGTTGCTACTTTACACACGCACCACGATCTCCCGTGCGACTGGCTGAACTGGACCATTATTCATGTAACAAACCAAATACTAAAACTAAATTGGCAACATTAAAACAAAAATGTGATCAGGTAAAGCCCACTGAGTTAGAGCTCTTTTTCAGAACCTGCCCACAAACGATAGCTCAGGGCGAGTGCCTTATCGCGTGGAAATTTGGAGCAGCCGAATACTCTGAACGCGCGTCGATTTCTAAATGCGGACGGGAAAAACCGGAGGACCCGGAGAAAAATCCACGCGACCACGGGGAGAGCGAGAGAGAGAGATCACGCAAACTCAGGGTCGGGATCGAACCCACGAACCTCCCGTACACCGCGGGCGAGGCAGTCAACGTCTCGCCACCGGCGGCGCCCCTGAATCTCGCCGCAGGAGACTCGGCACTCGAGGGCCACGTGCAGGTGACGGCGCACGGCTCACATCCATCGTAACCCTCGTCGCCGTCTCTCTCTCTCTCTCTCCGTTTTGCCGAGCGTCTCACTGCGGCTTTTATTTCCACAAACGAGACTCCACTCGAGCTCCATGCTCGAGTGGAGCGACACCAGAAGGTGGGGGGGGGTGGGGGGGGGGGGGTGGGGGGGGGGGGTGGGGGGGGCGCGTTGAGACTCGAGTCAGTGGCGGCCGGATGAGATTGGTGAGGTGTTGGTTGTTAACGGATCGGTTGTCGTCGACGTGCGGGTTGCGTGCGACGTGCGAGTTGCGTGTGAGTTGCGTGCAACGTGCGAGTTGCGTGTGATCGACTCGCGCGCCCTCTGTGCGGCAGAGCACGTGGCGGAACCGAGGGGGCATTACTCAGGCCGTGATGGATGCCCCTGATGGGGATGATGGGGGGAGGGGAGGGGGGGGGGCATCAGGGATCGTTAATGGGAGTCGCACCCCTTCAGTCACCGGGCTGTTGAGTTAGCGGCTGTTGTGTAGCTGGCTCTTCTGTATTGTGTCATCAGCTGGTGTGTGTGTTGTGTCGTCAGCTGGTGTGTGTTGTGTCGTCAGCTGTTGTGTGTTGTGTCATCAGCTGTTGTGTGTTGTGTCGTCAGCTGTTGTGTGATGTGTCATTAGCTTGTCTGTGTTGTGTCATTAGCGGTTGTGTGTTGTGTCATCAGCTGTTGTGTGTTGTGTCATCAGCTGTTCTGTGTTGTGTCATCAGCTGTTCTGTGTTGTGTCATCAGCTGGTGTGTGTTGTGTCATCAGCTGGTGTGTGTTGTGGTCAGCTGGTGTGTGTTGTGTCATCAGCTGTTCTGTATTGTGTCATCAGATGTTGTGTTGTGTCATCAGCTGGTGTGTGTTGTATCGTCAGCTGGTGTGTGTTGTGTCATCAGCTGTTGTGTGTTGTGGCATCAGCTGGTGTGTGTTGTGTCGTCAGCTGGTGTGTGTTGTATCGTCAGCTGGTGTTGTGTGTTGTGTCATCAGCTGTTGTGTGTTGTGTCATCAGCTGTTGTGTGTTGTGGCATCAGCTGGTGTGTGTTGTGTCGTCAGCTGGTGTGTGTTGTATCGTCAGCTGTTGTGTGTTGTGTCATCAGCTGTTGTGTGTTGTGTCATCAGCTGTTCTGTGTTGTGTCATCAGCTGGTGTGTGTTGTCGTCAGCTGTTGTGTGTTGTGTCATCAGCTGTTCTGTGTTGTGTCGTCAGCTGTTCTGTGTTGTGTCGTCAGCTGTTGTGTGTTGTGTCGTCAGCTGGTGTGTGATGTGTCATTAGCTTGTCTGTGTTGTGTCATTAGCGGTTGTGTGTTGTGTCATCAGCTGTTGTGTGTTGTGGTCAGCTGGTGTGTATTGTGTCGTCAGCGGTTGTGTCGTCAGCGGTTGTGTGTTGTGTCACCAGCCGTTGTGTTACTGGCTGCTGAGTCACTGGCTCTTCTGTGTTGTGTCATCAGCTGTTGTGTGTTGTTTCGTCAGCTGTTCTGTGTTGTGTCATCAGCTGTTGTGTGTTGTGATGTCAGCTGTTGTGTGTTGTGTCATCAGCTGGTGTGTGTTGTGTCGTCAGCTGGTGTGTGTTGTGTCATCAGCTGGTGTGTGTTGTGTCGTCAGCTGTGCTGTGTTGTGTCGTCAGCTGGTGTGTGTTGTGTCGTCAGCTGTGCTGTGTTGTGTCATCAGCTGTTCTGTGTTGTCGTCAGCTGTTCTGTGTTGTGTCATCAGCTGTTCTGTATTGTGTCATCAGCTGTTCTGTGTTGTCGTCAGCTGTTCTGTGTTGTTTCATTAGCTGTTCTGTGTTGTGTCATCAGCTGTTGTGTGTTGTGTCATCAGCTGCTGAGTCACTGGCTGCTCTGTGTTGTGTCATCAGCTGTTTCGTCACTGGCTGTTATCATCGAAAAATGCCACAAGTTGAAAATCAGAGCCTTTCCTGCGGCTCCCGAGTCCAAACCATGGACCACGAAACATCGCACGGCCCCAAACATACACGTTAAGGTTGTGGGTTGGTGACTGAGTCGTTGAGTGAGTTGGTGAGTGAATTGGTGAGTGGGCGAGTAAGTGGGTGAGTAGGCGAGTTGGTGAGTGGGTAAGTGAGGGGGTGAGTGATTGAGTGAGTGGGTGGGTGCTCAAGTTAGTGGGTGAGTAGGAGGGTGGTTGATTGAGTGGTTGAGTGAGTGGGTGGGTGGTTGGGTGGTTGAGTGGGTGAGTGGATGGGTGGTTGAGTGAACGGGAGGGGGGTTGAGTGAGTGAGTGGTTGAGTGAGTGAATGGGTGAGTGGATGAGCGGATGGGTGGGTAGGTGAGTGGGTATATCTGCATTTCACAAACTCTCAGACGGTGCAATCGAATGGCGAAATCACTTACAATTGATTCTCAAACGGTTGCTCTTCTTTTCGCGGTAAACAACGTCGGCTATTGTGCCATCGACTGTCGTGTCAGTGGCTGTTGTGTCAGCGGCTGTTGTGTCATCAGCTGTTGTGTCATCAGCGGTTGTGTCGTCGCCAGCTGTCACGTCATCGTCGGCTGCCACGCAAACGCTCGGCACACGACGGCATCGGAGACATGACGTCATCCTGCTTCGGCTTCCGCTCACACGGAACGCGCTTCGGTCAACCGGACATTTGACCGAAATGTTAACTACCTCGACTGGTATTCAGGAGGTTCGTGGACTCGATCCCGATCCTGTTTGGAGTTTGCGTGTCTCTCTCCGTGGTCGCGTGGATTATTCTCTGGGTCCTCCGGTTGTCCCCTCCACATTTAGAATCAACATCAACTCGTTTAGAGTATTTGGCTGCGAAAATATTCGAACGCGACAAGCCACTTCGTTGGGCTCTCATTTGTGGCCAGGTCGCTTCTGGAGAAGAGCTATGTAAGAGCTCAGTGCGCCTTACCTGGTAAAACATAAAATGAATTACTTGAACGTACATTTTGAATGAACATTTGACACCGAACCCCACAATTTAATCGCGTCACCAGTGTGCAAGGGACGAGTGGAGCTGCGTGACAGTCGAGCGTGGCTCTGGAGGTAAAATTTAAACCAGCGGTCCCCAAAATCTTTGGCACCAGGGACCGGTTTCGTGGAAGGCAATTTTTTTCACGGACGGGGGGGAGGGGAGGGGTCATCATTGGGTCTTTCCCCCTTTTCAAAGAAGCTCTACAGCGAGGTTCGTTTTTTTTTACTTATTTTGGCTGCTAAGGGTCAGCTTGTGGGCTTACCAACACTGTGACAAGTGGCGCAGTGCGGAAAAGAGGCGCGGACGGAAGTGGTAAATAATAAAATAATGGGTAGGCCACGCGCGGACTCACCGCTCTCACCTCCTGCTGCTGTGTGGTCCGGTTCCTAACAGGCCACGGACCGGTACCGGCCACGGACCGATACCGATACCGGTCCGTGGCCAGGGGGTTGGGGACCCCTGATTTAAACGAATCAACAGGAAGAAAAAAATTAAAGGCCTCGATTTTTTAATGGCGCAATTACGTTACGCCCTGACAATCGCTTTGATTAAAAAATATATATATATATTTTGGAACACACGGCGATTATTTACGAGAAGCAAAATCACCCCAACAAAAATTCCCCTCCTCCCCAGCCCCCAAAAAACTA